AAGAAAAAAAAACGTTCAAGCAGTACTCTTGTTTTAGCAGATCGAGAGAACTAGTGCCTGAGTTTAGTACCGGAGAATCCCACAGTACAGTTGATTCGTGTACTGGACAGATTCTTGGGCTCGACACTTGCCAAGCTACCTTCCGATATGGTGAAGCCGTCATGGTATCACCGCCACGCTACGCCATAGCACCTTATGCCGTTGCGCATTATGCATTGCCGGAATTCAAGGATTTGCCAAGCCAAATGTGCCAACCAATACCTGCATCCGTTCGAGAATTTGTCGGGTAAGTCAGCAACCGCTTTCGCAGCAGACCAAAGCGTCCTGTTCGTAACCACGGCCATGAGGATGTAGGGTATAGGTATTCAGCTCTTTTTTTTTGAAGACTGATTCGAGCGACTATGCAACAGCTAGAAATAGCCTGTGAACGATCCATCAAACTAGAGTTCTATCCACGAAGGCAGTTGGCACGATAATTTGGTACTCGGCCTAAAATGCTAGCAGGGCGCTATATAGTGGGAAAATGGCGAAAGAACGGAGTGAAACGGTCAAAATCCTGCGAAGAAAAAGCCTTCGTTCTCAATGACTTGAAAATCAATTTCGGACGAGTTTCCTGTAGGCATCTTGCCAATAACCGCTACCGAAGATACGGCTGCATGTGTGTACTCATATATCCATGCAGCACCGCGCCGCTTCATACCAATCCCTTCGCTTCATAATTTGCTTAGCAAATGAATCAATACGAGCGTCAGGAACGGTCGTCCATTTGTGGGCGGGCGAGCGTGGGTCGGTGTGTTGTGGCTTGATAGGACCCTTACACGGGTGACTTCCCTGGTGAACGCGCTACGCAGCGCCTTCTCAGAGGCGCGGAATTCCTTCCTGCCAGGCGTATTAATCCTACTCGTCTTGGGGGATTTAATCGGTGCCAAAGTGCCTTTAAGGACGATGCAGAAGGGAGCTTGAAATAATCCGATTCCGCACTCTTTTTCTGAACCTGCTGCTAATACGTCGATCTGCTGAGACCGTGTATGTTGACGGTTTCCTTTTCTGCCAAAGCGAATGACAGACAATCCGGCGTGTTCGTGACCGGTTGCCTTGCAGAAGGATGACACCTACGTAGGTCAACATACCTACTGTGGTGGGTGTATTCCTCGAGGGACCCAGGGCATACTTAAATGACAAAATTCTATGCCATTCCCTGGTGGGCATTTTGATATTTTCTGCATCCTGATTTCTGTCGTGCACGACTATATACACCCTAATTTGGAGCTTTTCCCGACTGGCGCCATGCATTCCTGTTCACGTGATTGGTAGAGTAGCCGCGTAAGGCCTATGTCAACTTCTTAGAATTTACATCTCCAGTTTCGGCTCATCTGCGCTACCCACACATAAAACCACCATTTGGACATTAGGGCAGATGCGTGGCAAGTTTCCCGGTAAGGTTGTCCCACCAAACCGGGTTTCCGCTGCATCAGGATGATGCCAGAGTGATTAATGTGATTAAAGTGATTAATTAATGATTGAAGAATGATTAACCTGTGAAGACTATATTGATTGTTCTATGACATTCTTCATTTAAACCTTGTGCAAGTATTATTTTGAGGTAATTGTACTTATCGGGTTAGACGTTCAAAAACTTGCTCGACCTAATAGCATCCGCTGAAATTCAAAGGTTTGGAGTTTTAGGTAAGTAAAATCGTACTTAGAGGCTATTCCCGCGACCACAGTTCATAGGCAATACAGCTCAAAAATAGAATTGCCGTGTGTTTATTGAAGAAGAGTGTGTGTCCTTGAGAATAAGGCAGCAGCAGAATATTTACTTAAAGACAGTAGAATAACAACTAGCAAAATCACCCGTTCATCCTCTGCCTGGTCAAAAGATCCAGTCAAACCAGGCAGATCTAGTACAACACAAGATCAAATACCTACATGTAAGAGATCACGGTGTCCCCAACACCTCCCCCTTGACGGCTGCCGTACGATTTAGCGTACGGGTCAATCTGAAGAAATTCTGTAGGGCGTCGAGTGCGGCTCGATCTTCGTCTGGCAACGGCAGGAGGCGCTGGTAGTGCAGTTGCAGTTGTTGTCGTTGTTGTTGTTGTCGGATGGAGTAGCAACCATTGAAGAGTGAGGCGTTGTGATGTTGAACGGTAGGTCGAAAACACTCATCAGCTCCTGTGTAGCACCAGGCGCTGCACGTGGGAGGAGCTGGTTGACGTGGCGTCTCCAGGTGAATCCACCAACTTGAACATCGTATATGGCGCGACGACGACGGCACACCGTCCTTGAGTCCATCGTTGTCCTAATCGATAGTCGCGAGCAAACAACATATCATCAGGTTCGAACGTCCTGGGTTTCACTCCGTCGGCGATTGTACTGCTTTTCCATCTTTGTGTCACGACGCGTTCTTGTTTTTCTTCCGGCTTCAGCAAGTCCAGTGTGTTGCGAAGGCGTCTTCCGAGGAAAGTTCTCTGCGGGACACCTTCCGTTGGGCGAAGCGGTAGATGGCGTATTCCGGTATGTGAAGAGGAATGTTTGGAGAGCTTCGTCGGTCGGTCCGTGCTTCTTCAGCTTCCCGAGCGTGCGCTTGAATGTGTCCACGAAGCGCTCAGCTTGTCCATTGGACTGGGGGTGGAAGGGCGGCGACCGGATATGCTCGATTCCTTTCTTCTTGCAAAAATCCTGGAACTCGGCTGCGGTGAACTGAGTTCCATTATCTGAGACGATGATGCGAGGGAATCCGAATTGAGCGAACAAGCGACGGAGTTCCTTCAGTGTGGCGGTGCTGGTGGTAGAAGTCATTGAGATGACTTCGGGCCATTTGGAGAATGCGTCGACGATCACCAGGTACGACATTCCATCGATTGGGCCGGCAAAGTCGATGTGGATCCGGCTCCATGGCGCATCCGAACGAGGCCAAGAACAGAGCGTGTTCTTGACTGGCGACTTGGCGGCTTCTTGGCAATCGTTGCAGGCACGGACGAGTTTCTCCAAATCCTCGTTGATCCTTGTCCAGAAGACATACTGACGAGCGAGGGCTTTCATTCGGTTGACTCCTGGATGTCCCTCGTGTAGCATTTTCAGAACAGACGGCTGGAGTGCTGGCGGGATGACGATGCGGCTTCCAAAGAGCAGGCATCCTTGTTGTGTTGAGAGTTCGTTGCGTAGATGGGCGTACCTCGCAACGGTAGGCGATGGTTTCTTCGGCCAGCTGTTGTGAGCGATATGGTCCATCACTTGACGGAGACAGTCGTCTTCAGATGTTGCGTGGGCAACCTCTTGGCAGTGACTGGTAAGCGGCTCACGTTCTCGGCGAAGATGGCGTTCACGTCTTTGGCGATACTGGCAATGATAACGTCTTCTTCCGGTGGCGATTGCATGGCGATGAGACGAGACAGTGCGTCGGCTTGTCCGAAGCTTGCGGTGTTCCGGTACTCGATGTCGAAATCGTAGGCGAGCATCGTAAGTCTCCATCGTTGCAATCGGTTGGCGGAATAGGCAGGGACTCCTTTTTTAGATCCGAATATTGCCAGAAGTGGCTTGTGGTCCTGTGAGCAAGGTGAAGCGGCGCCCGTAGATATAGCGATGGAATTTCCGGACAGCGTAGACGAGCGCCAGACCTTCTTTTTCCACTTGACCATAGTTCTTCTCCGCCGTGGTGAGAGAGCGACTGGCGTGGTAGACAGCTTTCTCTGTTCCGTCTTGATAGCGATGAGAAATAACTGCTCCGATCCCATAGTCTGAAGCGTCGGCCGCGACGATGATGGGCATCTTGGGGTCGTAGTGAGCCAGGAGCAGGTCCGAAGCGAGCACTTCCTTGGCGCGTTCGAAAGCGGCTTCGCATTCGGAGTTCCAGTTGAACGGAGCTTCCTTCTTGAGTAGTGCGTCGAGCGGTGCGCGGAGCTGGCGCATCTCTGGAACGAATGCTCCGTATGGTTGATGAGTCCGAGGAATGACCGGACCTGGGCGGTATCCTTCGGTGTTGGCATCTTGGAGATAGCGTCGATCTTCTTTGGATCGGGTCGGCGTCCGGCAGCAGTGATGACGTTTCCGAGATAGGTGAGCTGTGTCATCACGAAGTGGCACTTGTCGATGCGGACGCGGAAGCCGTAGTCGGATATCCTTGAAAATAGGGCTTCCAGATTGGCGTTGTGCTCGGAGAGGGTGCGGCCGGTAGCGATGGCGTCAAGGTAGGCAGCAACGCCAGGCAGCAGCGCAATGGCAGTCTCACAACGACACGGTCACTGGAGGCCGGCATGGGCCTATCGGGCGCAAATGGGCCTAAAACCTGAGCGCCCTGCGTTTTGCTTGCTGTTTTTCAACTTTTAAAAGCAGCATAGCCTCTGACGTTGCCTGCTTGACCATCGTGCACGGTTATGAGAACCTAGCCTTAGTTTATCGCGGAACGTGCCTTTAAGATAAAAGTGTCATCAACAGATATGTTAACCGTCATGAGGTGGTATCCCGCCCACGTGGTGATGGTGACCTAAAATTTCGGGAGATTTTTACGGGAGTCGCGCCACGTCGGAATGCGACTCCCCATTGGAACGATTCCGTGAAGAATGACGTATTTGCGGATTTGCAAAGGTACTGTGTGATTTGCCCATCACCATCTCCAGTGACCTTTACAAAAGCCACATAGCTTTGAAACGACTCCATCCTTTCAAAACTTTCGAGCAGCGTTGACGAGAATTTCTGATAAAATAAAGTAAGAAACGACAAAAGTTTCGGAGCAGCTAAAGTGAAATGGCATTCAGAACGAAATTCACGATTCTCGAGAGAAGCGAATGGAAATTTTGTATACCTCTGCTACTCGTCTGTACATATAAGGTGTAAGCGATTTGGCTATGTCCATCATCATAGCGCAAGGTACAGCTGAGTCCGTTGCCGCAATCATCACTTGTCTAAATTTTACCATTTATTACTTTTCTAAAAGACCTAGGCTTATTGAATTTTATTCTGGACCGACTTTTTTGAATAGTGAGTGGGAAAAAATAAATCGTGAAATTATGACAGCACACTATGACAACACTAACCCTGGAAGAATCTTCGAATCATAGTGACATGCCAGCACCAGACGACGCGGAGCTTTCACGCCATTGGTCACAATCAAATTTCGGAATGTTTTCCTACCATATGGCGTAATGGCCTGCAATACGAATATGACCCCGAGCAGTTCCTTAGCTTCCAAACCTGGAAACTGCAATAAAATTGGAGAGTAAATTGTTACAAAGAGAGGTCATCATCGCGATGTTGAAAATGCTGGCATCAGTCCGACACCCCTCAACAGAGGGTCACGGTATAACTTCAAAGGTAGTTGGCACGATAATTTAGTGGTCGGCCTAAAATGCTAGTAGGGCTAGTGGGGGAAATGGCGAAAGAACGGAGTGAAACGGTCAAAATCCTGCGAAGAAAGAGCCTCCGTTCTCAATGTGTTAGAAATCAATTTTGGACGAGTTTCCCGTAGGCATCTTGCCAATAACCGCTACCGAAGGTACGGCTGCATATGTGTACTCATATATCCATGCAGCATCACGGCCGCTTCATACCAATCCCTTCGCTTCATAATTTGCTTAGCAAATGAATCGATTAGAGCGTCAGGAACGGTCGTCCATTTGTGGGCGGGCGGCGTGGTATGTTGTGGCTTGATAGGGCCCTTATAAGGGCACCTCCCTTGGAAAAGGCATTATGCAGCGCCTGCTCAGGGTCGCGGAATTCCGTCCTGCCAGGCGTATTATCCTACTCGTCTTGGGGGATTTATCGTGCCAACTGCCTTTAAGCACTTACTGGTGCAAGTAACTGTGGTCCTGAGATCGTACGAAAAGACCAAAAGATTCGCAAGCACTCAACTGCTCAATCCTCACTGCTGTCTCCTGCGTTCACGACTCCTCACTACCTAGTGGGAAGAGTACATCCCCCGTTGGGATTTCCTCAACGATACTGGGCATATTCCCGATGTTTTTTAACGGAATAAGAAAGCACAGGAAGGAGGAAGCATAGTAAAAATAGGAGAGACACCCTTCACAGCAGCTTACAAGAATAATTTCAAATGAGCTTACTAAAGATCTAGTCGAGGCGTCCCCTCTGAACAAGATTCACCACCTATGTCGCAGCCCTAGGAGACCAGAATATTGCTGTCAAAGTCACAAGTAGACGCTATGAGAAGACTACCCTGAAAAGCAAGGAGCGGGCTAAACTCGTGCACAACGGCAATCGCATCAGTTTACTCAGCCGGTCAGTGGGTTGATCAGCTGTTTAAAGCTTACTCTCTACCAATGGACCATGTAAATGAAAGGAATAACACTGGAAAATAATCTGTCGACAGATAAACTTCTACACCCATAAGATCGTCCGTCCACTTCTACTTCCACTGCCTAATAGGAGGACAGCCCGCAAAGTACGCTTAACATCGCGGAGTCCGAAAACAGGTATTGTACAAGCATGTTTTTCACATAAACAACATTCTGACACCGAAACTCAGAAGAAACAAGCAAGAGTCTGTTCTGATTCGGTTCATGGCCATCATCCCCTCATGAAACTCGGCGCACGGCTAAGGAATAAGCGTGACAGGAAGGTGGAAAACAGTTAGAGGGGTTGCAAGAGAAGGTTTGAATTACATTCTTCCAGATGTTGTTTGAAACCTGCCTTACTCACTGCGGCACTGGGCATTGTAGGCGGACTAGGTTTGGCGCAGCGGCAGCCAGTTCTTCACCAGTTATGGTCGCCTGTCAGCTTCCACAATTTTGGAGGAACGTGCTGCGCAGCACCTCTCAGACACCACA